CCTGCTGTGTTCATCCAGCTCTATACCTTGTTATCTCAGATTCTCCAGCATCTGCAGTTCCTACTAACTCTGAAACATTCGGTTGCAGTTTTCTTTCTCAAATCTTCGTATGTCAAGCTTGGGAGTAAGTCAGAAGGCTGTACGACTGTTGGAGATCTCTGCACTCCTCCAGTCCTACAACCATTCGGGATGTCTGTGCTGGTCAAATCCAGGCCACCTTTGTTCTTGGATTTTTCGTTCCCTCAGCATTGGCGACAGGGTATTCAGCTGCCTCGGCCCTACAATCTGGAAATGCCTCCCCAGCCATTTCCACTTCTCCATTCACTTTAAGGCACTCTTTTAAAACCTACCTCCCTCCAAGGAAGCCAGATCATCGCCTGATGGAGAAAGAAATAAGCAGAAGATTGTTACGGTTCCCTGTAGGGACCACTGACGAATTTTTAAAGAGATGAATTTTTTTAAATGACAATTGGAATAACTGAAGGACAAGATTTCACATTTTACGATCATTTCTGAAACAAACTAAAATCAACAGGCAATTTTTATACCAAACTAAAGAGAAGGTGTTTTTGCATGAATTAATTAATGGAATTGAAATTATCATGTACAAAATGTTTTAACTTTATGCCATGCTTCTGGGAGATGTGTAGCAATACAAGGTTAGGTTTCAAGTTAGTCGTAACTCTCCAGCAGGCTCACTCCTCTTTTCCTTGCCAGATTGAATCTTCCCGTGTCTTCCAAAAATCAATCCACTCAGTCTGTGAATTTCAGAAATGATTTTCACTAGCAAGACCCACCTCAATGACAGCTTGTTTCCTAAATCTCTTACTCCTGTTCCCCTTCCTTTTGAACAGAATATTAACTTTATTTTAACAAACATTTTGCTTCGTTGTTAACACAGAAGCAATTCACCTTGCTCTTCACAGCATTAGTTGTGCCCTTTCCAGACAGCAGTGATTCATTCTGTCAATCTCTATCTCTCTGTGCATCTGTGTCTGTCTCCAAAAGCAGCTGTCCCTTTTCTTTGTCAAGGGTTATTTGTATTTCAATACGTTTCAGAATGACTTTCTTTCACCATGGTAACCCGATCTCGTGGACCAGTTTCTGGGTGGACGTTTAGGAGCATCATCATTTCCCCCACACCATGAACATTCAATGTTGTCTTAAATTAAAAGAGACATATTACAACAACTAACTTGTAAAGTCTCACATTTATAACAATATGCTGATAGAATTAAATGGAGAGACGTAGATAGAAGTTTGTATAGATAATGATCACTGAGACACTAGTTGAGCCAAGTGACTTGCTTCTGAAATACATTTTTATCTTTCTTTCTTTCCAATCTTTTGGTCATGTTCTCATTTTTTTTGTGCGTCCTTTTGTCAAATTTTATACAGTCACGTTCCTGCAAAATTCTTGGGTTATTTTGCTACCACAGATTACTATATAAATGCAAATTGTTTGTGACCAGCAGTATCTTCGAAACAATTCATCAAGGAACAAAAATATTTGTTTTTATAGGTCAGGATATTGTTTTAATATTTAGTGAGTGACTGTGATCTATAATTAATTGGTAACTGATGCATACACCTTCACTGTCTTAACTCAATTATTTTAATGTCTTTCCTGTATGGAATTCAGTCTTAACACATTTTAGTCCTTGATTAAACCCTGAAAGCCTGTCTTGATTTCCGCAGAGGAAGAGGAGGAAGAAGAGGAAGAGGAGGAGGAGGAGGAAGAAAGTCGTGAAGTATTGTTCTCTGAAGAAGAGCCAGCCAAAGTGAAGAAAAAAAGGAAACCACGGAAACAGAAAGAGAACAAGACTCCCAAACTGAAGAAGAGAAAGAAAGAGGTAACAAATGTGGGGAGGTGCACAGATGAAGATACTGAGAGGGGAATTGGACTCTGAGCCAGTTGGGAAAAGAAGAGGATGGCAGCCTTGTTGAGGAAATTGGGAGATGAAGGAGAGATTGCACTGAGGCTGGGGCTAGTTGGGGAATGAAGGTGAGGGATTTTTTTTTTGTATTCATTCACAGGATAAGGACGTCTCTGGCTAGCCCAGCATTTATTACCCATTCCCAGAAGGCAGTCAAGATTTAACCACCAGAACCTTTAATGGTTGGGTACTATTTTGCAAGAACAGCACAGATTACAGGATGACACACTAATATTTATAATTATGAAAGGCTGAGGTAGTGGATGTGGAATCAGAAGAGAGGGAAGGTAAAATTCCTTCACTCACAATTGAGAGGTTGCGGAGTTCATGATATTAATATTTGACATTAGATTGATTGGGAGGATGCTAAGGGGTTGGAAACAAGACACGTTACCTATTAGGAGGGCAAAAACCAGCATGGGCTGTTGGTTTGGAACTGTGTGTTGCCATGTTGCAACTTCTATTTATTGAGGGTGTTGCTGTGAAGTAATATACTCCAGGGTAAAATCCTGGAAGTGATGGTATCAGCAGTGAAAGTGCAATTGTGTTATTGTTATAGAGACTGCACAAATTCTGATTTTTAAGAAGCTGGTCTTGGCCAAAGGAAAGTGATCTTTCACTGAGAATATGTTCAGACTTATCTGTAATGTCCTTCCTGAGTTGCTTGCCAACTAGCTGCTGTCTAGGCTTGAAATAAAAAAAAACTTTGTATTTATATAATGCCTTTGATGACCTTGAGACATCCCAAAGCATTTTACAACTAAGAAAAATACTTTTCAACTACAGACTTTGTGTCTGTGTTCTCACAAACAGCAGTGACATAAAAGGCTGGATATTGATTAATAATACTGCCTGACGAGGGATAAATACTGGCCAGGGATCTGGGGAGTTGACTCGAGAGGCCTGAAAGGGCCTGCGATTAATGTCCCAGCTGAGGGTCACCACCTCTGACAGAGCAGCCTTCCCTCAGTACTGCATTGCGGCTGTGGCCCTCTATTAGATGCTCAAGTCCCTGGAAAGGGGTTTGACCCCACAGCCTTGTGATAGAGGCAAGAGCGCTCCCCACAGAATTGTGTCTGGCTTAGCCTAATGAAAGGGCTGCCTTAAGAATTGCAAATTGCCATAGGGACAATTTGAGTGATTCCCTCCAGCTGCTGGCTGTCCTGTTTTGCAGCAGTTCCAAATTGGCCCAGTTATGTGAAGTTTAATTTAACCAAGAGGCTGGTTTAAAAATATATATTCTTCAAATCCCCTCTAAACCTGCTGATCTTTACCTTTTAAAACAGTGCTGCCTGGTTATTGACCCCACTGCTAAATGAGAGTGTTTCTCCCTATCTGCCCTGTCTGTGCCTCTCATAACCTTGTACACCTCAATCAGGATCACCCTCAGCCTTTGCTGCTCTTAACAAAAGCAATCCCAGCCTATCTACTCTCCCTCAGCTGAATTGCTCCAGCGAGGCAATGTCCTGGTGAATCTCCTCTGCACGCTTCATGGTGTAATCACATTCTTCCTTTAGTGTGGTGACCAGCACTGCACACAGAACTCCAAATGTGGCCTAGCTAATGTGATATGCAGCTCCTTCGTAACCTCATTACTGGGACAGTTGCTGATAAATTGAACAGTAGATAAGGATAGAGAGGGAGCTTCTTCATAATCTAGAATGATTTCCATTCTGATCTATGATTTAGCTCAGGCTACCTGCAGTGTCTGAAATCTGGCAGGAATATATTTCCTCTTGGGAGATGTATCTTGTTGAATCCATTATGGTGAATTTCCCATTTGTTTGAAAATCAGTTGAAGGTTGTTTCTACAATACTTGATTTTCAGGAACAAGTCATTTGTTTGTGAAAGTTGATGTTTCTGCATGACCTTGCCATGAGAGAGTTTATTTTGTTTGCCTTGTCCTCTTCTGAAGACATTGTTGCCATAGGGCAGGGTCCAAGAATTGCTTACCTTTCTTCTCTAACAAATGTCGAGTGTTGGCATGTTGCAACCACAGGAGCGTGACCCAAATATTCCTATCCTTCAGACACTGGCCCAGGAATGCTGGAGATGTCTTTAATAGACTGGGCTGAGATAAGTGTCTTTTGAGAGGTGCTCAGGGCCGTTTCCTCTCCCGAGCTCCGTAACTTCCCCTATCCCTACAATACTACTGAATCTCTGGATCCCTTTAAGCTTAACCTACTGCACATCCTCAACATTTAATTTTTTTTTTCTAATTACCTTGTTCAGGGATGTTATGATAGACCTATGGAACAGATAGGACTTGAACCTGGGCCTTCTGGTCTAGAGGTGGGGATATTAGCACTGCACTACAAGAGCCACCTTGACATTAATTGTTTGACCATTGACTGCATTACATTTGGGTACCTAGGCCCTAAGCTCTGGAATCACCATGTTCAACCCTCCATCTCTCACTGCACCCAGAAGCAGCTCCTTAAGACCAAGCTGTCAGCCACCTGCCCTGATATATGGGTGTGAAATTATTTCTCTAACACAGGGCAATAAGAAATTAAGATCCAATTGGACATTTGCTAATCAACCCGTTCAGAGCTGCAGTTACATCTGGAGTAGGTGGGATTTGAACCCAGGCCTCCTGGCTCAGAGGCATGGATACTACCATTGTGTGACAAGAGCCCAATAAGATCCAGTCGGGTAGTTCATGTTTAAATGTAAATCAGTGCTGAACAACATTTGGTGTAAGTGAGGTCATGTGATTTCCTAGTCCACCCATCCAGACTCCCCTACATCATGGACTCCTAGTTGTGGCAGTACACACTTGATAAAGCCTGCTTAATATGAGGGTATGAAATAGGAGCAGACATAGACCATTTGGCCCATTGAACCTGCTGCACTGTTCAATGTGATCATGGGTGATCTGATTATGTCTTGAATTTCACATCACCCTGATATCCCTTGATTCCCCTGCCTAACAAGAATCACTCCACCTCTCTTAAAAAGAAATTCAGTAATCTGACTGCACCAACCTGAGGCAGAGTGTTCCAAGGTGTCTGTATTCTCTCTGAGAAAAGTTTCCCCTCATCTCTTTCCCAAAGGACAGCTCCTAGCTCCTAATTTTAAAACCGTTCCCCCTAGTGCTGTACTGATACAGGAGAAAATAACCTTCCACGTCCACCTTGTCAAGACCATTCAGGATCTTGTACACTTCAATCAAGTCACCCCTCGCTCTCCAACCCCCAGTGGAAACAAGCCCAGCTTGCCCTCTAAACCTTGTAAGACAACCCACTCATTCCAAGTGCCAAGTAGCTTCTCCAGTGCCTGGACAACTGAAGCAGTTAACTAACACTCAAGAAAAGACCTATTTGCTGCCTCCGATTGTGCTGCCCCACCTGTTCAGATGACCTTGGAGAGTACATGCTTGTACTCTTGATGCCTTATGACAGCATCAAGAACTTAAAAGGGCATAAAGAAATTTTTAGGCCCTGCTAAAAATGTAATTTAGTTAGGAAGGTTCTATGGAATCATGTATTTGCACCCTTTCCCCATTATCAACGTTGGCCTAAAAGGGCACTTTTGCTCCTTTTTTATTGTTTATTGATTCTGAGGCAACTGTCATTTTTGTTGGCCATCGAAGTAGGCCCCATCTGTACTGCTAATTTGTTGTCAGGACTGGGCACTTGAAGGAAGTGATATTGTCTGGTTATGTTTGGCTTGACATCAAGAACAAGTGCAATGATTGATGAACTTTGGCCTTAAGGTGACAAAGTGACTGTTCTTTGGAGTCCATCCAAGCAGCTTTCAGTTCTGTAGGAGGGTCACTGGACTCAACACGTTGACTGTTTTATCTCCTCAGATGCTGCCAGACCTGCTGAATTACTCCAGCAGTTTGTTTTTGTGTGTTTCAGATTTCCAGCATCCTCGGTTCTATTATGGTTATAGCTTGCAAACTCTGAGTAATGTTGCGTATTTCTGTGTGTAACTTGTTCCAGACTATGGAACTGTTTCTGCCTTGAAGTCCAAGTTTGGGGTTGAGAATCTAAACTTGGCCTTCCTACCCCTGGGATAGTAAGGATTTGGGATGGACAGAGAGGAATGAGGAATTGTCAGCCTGAGTTCCTGCCTGTCTTCCTGGTGTCCTGGGTCCATGTCACAAGAAGCAGATCAGCAGGTTGTTATCTATTCTGCTATTTGTGGGACTTTGCTGTGTGCAAATTGTTTCTTGTATTTCCTACAACAACCACTGGTCTTTTATTTAACACCTCTAAATTTGGAAGGTGTTTTAGTGAGTGTAACTATGTTATCAAACAAAACTTGATCATGAATTATATGAGATGTCAGTGCAGGTGACCAAGAAGCTTTTCTCAATAATGTGCATTTTAAGGGCTGTCTTAAAAGTGGAGGAGTGCTTGGGGTTGGGTGGGGGGATGCTGAGGGAAGGTTAGAGTGGGAGTTCCAAAGCTTTAGCAGACAGTGTGGCCAACGATGGACAGATTAAAATCAGCTTTCTCCAGAGGCCACAATTGGAGGAGCACAGGTAGCATGGAGAATTGTGGGACTGGAGGACATTGCAGAGATGGGCAAGGGCTTGGAGGGCTTTGAAAAGGAGGATAATCATTCTAACATCTTTGTTAAGTTTGTGTTGCAAAGGTGTATTAACATTGGTAACAAAAGGAATAGAGTATCTAAGTAAAGCATAGAACCTTACAGGGCACCAATGAGGTCTCCTTACCCAAGGAAGAACCTATTTGCTCCACAGGAAGTAAGTGCAATGAAGGTTAACCAGATTGGGTCCTGGCAAGTGCGATTGTCCTAAAATGAAAGATTGAGTTAACTAGACCTATATTTCCTGAGCTTTGGAAAATAAGGTGCGATCCAGTTGAAAAATACTAAATTCCCAAGGGGCTTGACCGGGTTGATTCTGACAAGATGTTTTCCTTGGGTAGAGAATCACAAACAAATGGGCGCAATCTGAAAATAAGCTGTCGTCCATTTTGGACTGAGGTGAGGAGAAAGGTTTTTCACGGAGGATTGTGAATTTTTGGAATCCTCTAACCCTGATGGCAGTGGATGGTACATTCGTGAATGTATTCAAGGCAGGTCAATAGATTTGAGTAGAAAGGGAATTAAGGAATATAAGGATGGTGTGGGAAGGAGGAGTTGAGGTGGAACACCAGCAGCAATTTTGTTGGGTGGTCTACTCTAGCTCCGGGTAAATAACCCTATAATGACAGCTGCCATGCAAGTACTTAGTTGTAAGGTTTTTTAGGAACTCCTGAGGTTGTGAAGGGTGCTATATAAGTTCAAGTCTTTCTTTCAATGTACCTGATTTCTACAGAACAACCGTTCTTTAAAAGTGTATGTGTTGGGGTGGTGGGTGACAGCAGCATTAGACTGGCTCCTGGTGTGCTGTAGCCAGCTGTTACTCACTGTCAAGGCTCGGGATGAGGACTGAGTATCTGGCAGAGAGCTAAAGAGCACCTGCCGATTTGCAGCAGATGAGAGGAAAAGACCAGCTTGGTCATGTAATCTTGTGACAGTGTGATATTTGGAGGAACTTTGTTGACCTTCAGGATTTTTAATGGATCTATGCAGTCTTTGCTTTTTTGTGAAGCGAGAGTAGGAAAGAGAAATAAAAGCAGAAAATGCTGGAAATAACAGATCAGGTTGTATCTATGTAGGACGGAGCAGAGTTGTTTAATATTGTTGGAAGTGGAAAAGGTTAGAGATGTAACAAGGTTTTAAGCAATTACAGTGGGGGAAGAACAAAAGGGAGTATGTGAGATGGGGTGGAAGGCAGGAATAATTAAAGTGATGAAGGAGACATTCGTGTAAGTGAAAGAGATTTGGTAATGAGATAAGCAGAAAAGTAATTGTAACCGAAGAGTCGTTGCTAGCCGCTGCTCTCTGAGAAAATGAAAGCAGTAGCAATGGCCTGAAATTGTTCAGTCAGGTGTTGAGTTTGAAAAACTGTAAAATGCTTATTGAGGAATGATTTGTTGTTCCGAGCTAACCCCAGATGGTCTTATGGATCAGTGGGTGGAATCCCTGTCTCTAAGTTGGAAGTTGCAGGTTCAAGTCTGTCTTGGATCACAGGGTATATCCAAGTGGTTCTTTTGGATTCGGTTAAATGTAGTTAAGAGAAGACTTGACAACAGCAATTTGCTTAAATATAAGTGTTTATTTAATAAAATTAAGAAATGGTAAAGAAAGGACAAATAAAAAAAAAACTGAAATATGAACATCTATTAAGTAACAAAAAAAAATGAAAAAGAAAGGAAAAGAAAGCAATGGGCCTCACACCCTCTCGATTGACGGCTGGTCTGGAAGTTTAGGGTTGTTCCTGGCACCGTTAGTGAAGTCCGACAACTTGCAACGAAACTCTCTCTTATACAGTGTAACAAACAGCTAGTACAGAAAAGCATCTTTGATTATGCTGTCTTTGGCATATACAGGAATGTTCACAGGAATCTTTCAAGGTTCATGCAGCTGTTGAATATCATCAACAATTTTAGCCCTTCAGCCCATCCTATACAAAGTCCCACTCCAGGACTTGATATCCATTGAAGGTGTGTTCTTAACATGGCCAAACAAGTTGAGTATAAGTTTGTAAATTCTTGCAACCTGTACCATTGGCGGGCAGTAAGAACAGAAGAGATTCATGGTCAGCCATATGTTGGAAAGAAATAAAAGCAGAAAATGTTGGAAATACTCAGTAGATCAGGCTGTATCTATGGATCAAGGAACAGAGTTATTTAGTGTTGTTTCCACCATCACTATGCACAGGCTGCGATATCTATATGTTGCAACATAAACTCTGCTACCTTTGGGGGAACCAATCAATCAGTTGGCTGGATGGTCATTCTGCATCAGATTGGTGCCAATGGCACAGGGTTTGATCCTTTTATGGCTGGGGTCAATTCAGAGCTGCCTCATTACTTCTCCATGGTGAAGGTTGTGGCACTTTGGGTAGAGGGCACTCAAGGGAGAAGCTAAACCAGTAAGGCTTTCAGATAATTGGAAAAGAAATGGGGCAATGAGGAAGCTCTCAGTTCTAGGGTCTTGGAGGATGAATACTCGAGTAATCCAGTTTCTTGGTCACAACCTGTTTCCCTCTTTTGTCCATGTTCTTCAGGAACAGAAGTCGTCCACATACTTAATGGATGATTGGGGTTTGGAAGATGTGGATTATGAGTTCACAGAGCAAGATTACCACACTCTGACCAACTACAAAACCTTCAGTCAGTTCCTGAGGTACACACTGCTGGAATAATTGTTCGATAATAATTTAAAAAAACAACTTTTTTTTTCCCCTCTTTTTGCTTGTATTCAGTTGTGTGTTGGTTTGCTTACATTCTTTGTGTAGTTCTGTGTCATTTGAATAGGACAGAGAGAAGCCTTACCTTATTAGAAATAACTCCAATACCTTTCAATCCTGATTTCTGAGCCTTGAGATCTGTTTGCATTCCCAAATCCAATTTTCAGTATTGGACTCATGAAACAAAATAGCTGCCTGGTAATGTTTTGTCCCATGTGACACTAGCATCCCTTGTGGTTCTGGCACAGTGAAGTATTCACTAAATACTGCTAATGATGATTGCTAGTAGGACTGACCTTTCACAATATTGATGAGGTGTCTTATGTGAAGACACTGCATTCTATTTGGAATGTTTTAATTGGAATGTCAGGTGTCCTTTGGGTGTAAATGTTAGCTAATGTCTTGCTGGCAGCAGCAGGACCAACACTCATTCTAAAACTAAACACTGAGAATTACAGTGTATTGATTTGCCTTAATGTGTTTTGTGTTTACGTGATGGGCGTGTGACCCAGCTACCTGCACGCACACTCTTGGAATAGCAGAATGACATACCATAGAATAGGTGGTTACACCATGGTGCTTGTGCTAACTTTTCCCCCCCTCCCCCTTGGATTGGAACCTTTTCCCCTTCTAGTATTTATCCAATTCACTTGCTGATGTCGCCATTGAATCTCCTGTGGGCACCCTTACAGGCAGTGCACCCAGATTACAATTTTGCTGAGTTTAACAAAAAAAAGTCTCATGTTGCCACTGGTTCTTTTGTCAATTACCTTAAATGTGTCTCCTCTAGACACAATCTCTTCTGCCACTGGAAACAGTACTTATTTAAGTTGTTGCATATCTCCCTATCCTTCACTCCACATATGCAGCCATGCCTTCGACTGTCTAGGCCCCATACTGTCGCATTACCTCCGAAAGGAAATTGGCAAAATTTAAAATATTTGGCAAAAAGATCAGTGGTGGCATGAGGAAGTCATTTTTACATGGTGTCCCAGATAATGAGAACTTACTGCCTGAAGAAATAGTAAGAGTAGTAGATTCAGTAGTTACTTTCATTAGAGTGAGGCTAATTGGAAAGCTGTTCCAAGAAGCTAGCACAGGTACAATGGGCTGAATGGCATCTGTGTTGCATCATTGTTTCTTAAACCCTTTAAATGTCATTTTCTTTCTCTTTATTCTTTCTGGGATGTGAGTGTTACTGGCAGGACCAGCACTTGTTTTCTCTTGTGCTGAGTGGCTTGCTAGGCCATTTTGGAGGGTAGTTAAGGGTCACCCACATTCTGTAGGTCTGCAATCACATATAAGGGCAGACTGGGCAAGGACTGCAGATTTCCTTTCCTGAAGGGCATTTATGAACCACATGGGTTTTACAACAATTGTTGATATCATCATTTAATTGTTATGTAAACATATCACCATTTATCTTTGGGATTTATTCACCAAATTTGAATTCCACCATTTCCTTTTGTGGGATTTGAATCCAAGTCCCTGGAATATTAGCCTAACCCTTTGGATCGCTACTTTACATCTAAGATCCCTAATGGGGAACAGTGCCTGAATTGGATTCTAGAATATTGTCTCCTCAAAAGGCAGTGAATGCTGAGGGTCAGCTGGAGCTTTCAGGTTGAGATTAATAAGGGGTGAGAATAATAAGGGCTATGGGATTTGAGAGAATTTCAGCTTGATCTAGTGGAATAACCATTCAGGCTTGGGGCCTGAAAAGAAAACTCCTGTTCCTCTGCTGGGGTGATGGGAGGGAGGCTACAAGACTCAGCATCATTCAGGTTAAGGAAAGGTGGGGGTGTATTTGTCAGGATTCTTCTCCATGACTGCTATCCCATAAACAACTCTGTTGCTTACCAGAAGTAATTTTATATGAGCCAAAGTCCGATGCGATAATTCCCATGGTCAAATAGCCCACTAACTTGTGCATTTATGGAGGGAGATTAAGAATTTTGTAGTGAGGTGCTGATTGTTGCCTGTGGATTTGAACACTAGAAAATGCACCTTCAGGAACATTGAAATGTTGAGTGGGCAAAAAAAGTTGCTTTTTAAACGTGCATCCACTCTATTGTTATCTCCAAACCGGACTATTCCAGTGATCTCCAGCTGTCACCTTCCGCTCTCTCTGTAAACTTGAGCTCATCCAAAATTCTGCCTGTGTCCTGACCTGAAAAAGTAGTGTTTACCCATCATTGCTTTTGTTCAGTGACCTACATTTGGCTTCTGGTCCAGCAGTAGCTCAGTCTTAATATTCAAATCCCTCCATAGTCTCATTGCTGTCTGTCTCTGGATTACTAGTCCAGTTACTTTAGGGGACTAGGCACATGAGGCATTTCAGGAAAGGTTAGATCAGTATATGAAGGATTGTGGACTAAAAGAATATGTTGATGGCATTAAATGAAGAAAAATGCGAGGAAGCTGGTACTGCTGGTACTGATCAGTTGGGCTGAATGGCCTGTGTAAGTGCTGTGAATTCTTGTCCTAAAAGCTTCTTTATGTGGTTTGGTGCTGGGTTTTACCTGATAACACTCCTGTGAAATGCCTTGGGACAGTTTCCTACCTTAATAACCCAGAGTAGTTGTTGTTGTTGTCTGCCAATACTTGGTTGTTACCCCCAGTTTGTTTGAGTTGATCTGATGAGATGGTCTGACCAGCCTCGTCTTCTGTTCCCCATCAGGCCGCTCATTGCCAAGAAAAACCCGAAAATCCCGATGTCCAAAATGATGACGGTGCTCGGTGCCAAATGGAGGGAGTTCAGCGCCAACAATCCTTTCAAAGGGACCTCGGTGGCTGCAGCAGAGGCAGCGGCAGCTGCGGTGGCAGCGGCAGTGGAGCAGGTGATTGTGGCACCACCGGTACCGATTCCTCTGCCACCCCCTGTTCAACCCCCCGTGCCCCTACGGAAAGCCAAGACCAAAGAAGGGAAAGGTAAATGCTGTTTTCTCACACCTTGTAAATCCGGCCTTGTAAACTAGGTGGGGAGAAATGCCAAGTGGCTGGTCTGTGAGACGTACTATACTGTGTGGACTGGGACGTGTCCCTGGCCTCGTTGCTTGTCTGCATTGCAGTTGGCCTTGTTACCACGGCGATAGAAAATTACCCATCCATTTCCATCAGAAACTACAGGATGCAGATCTAAAATAATTACAAAACCTAGAGTGAGGTGTGAGGAATTTTTATTATTTATCCAAGAATCTGTTACAATCTGGAATGCACTGACTGAGAGAATGTTGGAAGCAGATTTGATAGTAACTTTTGAAAGGGAATTGGATAAGTATTTGGAAAGGAGAAATTGGCAGGGCCTTGGAAAAAGAATGGGGAGAGAGGGACCAGTAGTCTAGTAATTTCAAAAGAGCTGGCACAGGCATAATCGGCTGAATGACCTCCTTTTGTGCAGTATGATCCCGTAATTCTGATTGGAGAAGTGTTTGTGTCAGGGTGTCTGGGCGGCAGGACCAAGCTCCGTTTTGGCACCCACTATGACCCGATCGTCTTTCAGGGCTCACTGCATGGGCTGGTGCATGTGAGAATAGCAGGTTTGGTGGGTATAGATGACCTGTACTGGTGGACCTCCAATAAGAGTGATCCTCTCTGGGAGAGGAAGGGTGAAAACGGAAAGACACAAGGGGACATACTTGTGCTGTATTATTACAGGAACCTGCAGTGCAGGATGTTTTCCCCACCAGCAACACCCAGTCTATGTTTCACTGCACTGCTGTCTGCTCACAGGTCCTGGAGTTCGGAAGAAAAGTAAAAGTGCCCGAGCGGCTGAACTGAAGAAGAAAGGAAAAGGAAAGAAGATGACGCCTCTGAAGATCAAGTTCGGAGGTTTCAGCGGCAAACGGAAAAAGGGGTCTTCAGTAAGGCCAACCCCTTATTCTATTGACCTGTCCAGTTTCTGTGTGCGCGCGCTCGTGTCTTAACTGGTAGGTGTTGTGTCATTTCGATGAGATGCCAGAGGAGAAGTGATGGTGGTGGAATTGTATCCTGCCCCGAGTGAATGTGGGGATGTGGAAATATGAAACTTCTCCTCTCTCTATGCGTGTATTGTGCTTGTGTTTGCAGAGTGAGGAAGAAGATCATGGTGAGTCGGATCTAGACAGTGTGAGTGTCCACAGCTGCTCCTTGAGGTCTGACAGCTCTGCTGGTTTGGGCAAGAGAAGAAGGAAAGCTGGCAAGAGGAAGAAAAGATGTAAATATTTGACTTCTTTCTGATGGATTTGGAATGCATGTGTGCAGTGTTTCCCTCTGATTGTGGATTGAGGGGAGTAAAACTTGGCGCTGTCTGTGGGGTAGGCTGAGTGGGTCGCTGGATTTAGTAACCAATGCCATCACTTAATGAAGTGTTCAGGACCTAAAGACCAGAATCCGCACACTTAATTCCTGTTCTCTGCTACGTTCAGAAATCCCAGCTGGACTGGTGCTTCAGTGATACCACTGGTCTAAGGCGAGGAAGTGAGGAAATGACCTGGGGCTTTATGCTCCTGAATATGCGGAGGACAAGTGATTATGCTTATTGCCCTTCGCTTTCCCTTCCCATCACTTGACCTTGAGTTATAGAACTGCACACCAGGCAGAACCAGTCACTGGTAGAGAGGATTAACTAAGAACAGCTCCTGAGTATTGGTTATATAATGCTTAAACCACCCAAACCCCTGATTCTGGTCTTTAAGTTTTTTTTTCTTTATTCATTCATGGGATGAGGGCATCACTGGCTAGGCAGCATTTATTGCCCAGAGGGCATTTAAGAGTCAACCACATTGCTGTGGGTCTGGAGTCACATGTAGGCCAGACCAGGTAAGGATGGCAATTTCCTTCCCTAAAGGACATTAGTGAACCAGATGGGTTTTTCTTGACAATCGACAATGGATTCACTGTCATCATTAGATCCTTAATTCCAGATATTTATTGAATTCAAATTCCACCATGGCGAGATTTGAACCTGGGTCTCCAGAACATTATATGGGTCTCTGGATTAACAGTCCAGCAATATTACCACTAGGCCATCGCCACCCTCTTGTTAAGTACAAATTCTTCCACCCTATCCCCACTCTCTCTCTAAATTGAGATTAAAACATGGAGCTGTTTCACAGTTCAGCACACTCCCCTGCAGGACTGACCCCAGTTTTACCTTGAAGCCATCTAATATCCAGTCATAGCATTAATATGTCACCACTCTTTATTTTATATACTTAGCTGTACTGCACTAAAGTGCTTGGTTTGTTATCTTTATGTCCCTCCAGAAGGGTGCATAATCGTCTGTTGCAAGTGTGACTCATTTGTCTTCTCCTTGCACTATGTGCTTGGAGACTCTAACTTCATTGACTCTTATTCTTCTGCCTTTGCTAGTGGAGGAAGGTGATGGGTATGAGACAGATCACCAGGATTACTGTGAAGTGTGCCAACAAGGAGGAGAGATTATTTTGTGTGACACCTGTCCTCGGGCCTATCATTTGGTCTGTCTGGACCCAGAGATGGAGAAGGCCCCTGAGGGAAAGTGGAGTTGTTTGCACTGTGTAAGTTGCCAGTTTCCTGCTTTGTTCTTCCTTCTTGTTGTTGTTGTTAATGTGCTTCGTGGGTTGCTGTTCCAGCCAGTGTGATGCTCCAGTGTGACTGCACAAGAGCTGACGATCCCTGTCAAGGTTCTCGACCTGAAATGTTAACTCTGCTTTTTCTCCACAGATGCTGCCAGATCTGCTGAGGTTTTCCAGCAATTTCTGTTTTGTTCCTGTCAAGGTTGTGCTTGTTGATCTTGTCCAGCAGATAGTAGTGAAGTCCTATTTGGCTCCCATGTGAATGGGGAAATGTTTGCTGGGTGCTCCCATATAAAATTCTCCACCGACCCCACTATAGGAAGATAAATGTGTGCTAATGTTTGGGGAGAGGATTGGGTCTGCAGAATGGTAAAGTAATTATAACAGGCCATTTGGCCCCATAAGTGCTAATGCTTCACATAAGCTCCTCCCACTCCATCCATCTTACCCTATCAGTTGTGATGTCCACCATAACCGAATATCCTGTTTGCACTTATATCTATGCTCAGATGAGACCAACGTTCTCCCTGTGTCAGTGTGGGTTTCGTCTGGGTGCTGCAGTTTCCTCCCCCAGTCCAAAGATGTGCGGGTTAGGTGGATGGGCCATGGGTAATACAGGGTTACAGGGAGAGCATAGGGGAGTAGGTCTAGGTGGGATGCTGTTCGGAGGGTTGGTGTGGACTCAATGGGCCAAATGGCCGCCTCCTTCACTGTAGGGATTCTATGATTTATTACCCATCCTAAGTTACCTGCTTGAGAAGGTGTTGGTGAGTTGCGTACGTGACCTGCTGCAGTCTGCGTGGTGAATGTGTGCCAACAGTGCTCTTAGGGGACCAGTTCCAGATTTGTGATTCAGTGTCGATGAAAGTGCGGGGGTATATTTCCAAGTCAGGATGTTGTGTGACTTGGAGGAGAGCTTGGGGATGATTGCGTTCCACAGCATTGATTCCCTTGTCCTCTTGGATATACATGCAGCACTCTTGGTGAGTTACCATCATGTATTTATGTCTGTGTCTGAGAATATTGTATAATGCATCCTGTATTCTGTATAATGACTTTAGGAAAAGGAAGGAATCCAGTGGGAGGCTAAAGAAGATGATGAAGATGAAGAGGATGATGAGGGAGTGGAAGAGGAAGATGATGATCACATGGAATTTTGCAGAGTCTGCAAGGATGGAGGCGAGCTGCTGTGTTGTGACTCCTGTCCTTCCTCTTATCACATTCACTGCCTTAACCCCCCACTCCCTGAGATCCCAAATGGAGAGTGGGTTTGTCCACGCTGCTTGGTGAGTCTATGATTGTCCTGACCAGTGTGGGTTGTGATATGGGCTGTAGTAATTGAAGCCTTTCCTGATGAAGTCACTTTGCTATGGGTGTTGAAATGGGGGGCAGAGTTTGACCTTGTCCCCTCTGAGATTCTTTTAGTCCAGTACCATAGCCAGGAGGTAATGGGTCCTGTGCTAGGGAAAGGAAATATACTGCCTGGCATGTGAAAGTATGTGCTGGCAACCCAAGAGCCAGCTGATAAACTTCAATACTGACCAATTCCCAAAAAAATCAGCCTGTAACTGTGGAGCATGCATAGTAAGGATTCGGCACATTTGGAACAGGAGAGCAGAGATTTGTAATGGATATGAATGCTGGCTCAAGAAGAGGGTAATGTTCGATACATAGATTCCCCTGCCTATGTTGTTCCTACTTTGGATAAAGTGTGTAGAGGGGAGAGCTGTCACCAGGGGTTAGCCAGATTATGTCAATTGAATGATTAAAACATGTAAATGCTTGTGTTGTCTCCAGTGCACACCTCTGAAAGGCAAGGTGCAGCGAATCTTGCACTGGACATGGGGTTCACCCCCGCTGCCACGCACGCCTCCCGCTCTGACAGGTGAAGCCAACGAAGCAGAACAGCCCAAGGTCCTGAAAGGACGGCCTCAGCGAGAATTCTTTGTGAAATGGGTGGGACGGTCTTACTGGCACTGCTCTTGGGCCACAGAATTGCAGGTACGTTGTATGATTCAAAGTCTCCCACGTCTGGTATGGGCCCGTGCTTGTTGTGAAGCCAGTAGCTTCCCAAATGTTGGTTACCAAAGCTTTTTGCTGAGCAGACTGCATGGTCACATGATAGTCTTAATTTAATGCTAACTTAAAGAGACTGTCCCAAAACACACAAATCTTATGGACCTCGTAGGAGCACCAGAACTTCCTTTGCTTGCTCGTTGCCTATCATGTAAGGCTCATTGTAACTTTTCCTTCAAGATCAAAATGTGGAAACGCAGTTGAGGGAAGGTGGTGAGGCAATTCTTAAGAAATGCAAATGTGTGTTAAAACATAAAATTTCTCTTTGCCCACTCCAGCTGGAGCTATACCACACCGTAATGTTCCGGAACTTTCAAAGGAAGAACGATATGGATGAACCACCACCATTTGACTACGGCTCTGGGGATGATGAAGAGAAAAGTGAGAAACGAAAGAACAAGGACGCACAGTTTGCACTGATGGAACAGCAGTATTATCGATATGGGATCAAACCTGAGTGGCTCATTGTTCACCGTATCATCAACCACAGGTGACGAGAGACAGATCGGGTTCTGGGACATGTGCTCGCATTCAATTTGATCTGTACCTTTACCCCACCTGTCACCTTGGTTCCTTGACATTTAAATAACCATTGGCCAATGAAATTCTATCTCCCTCAGTTTTGAAATTTGGAATCGACAACCTGCATCCCCTCCCAAGCCACACCAGCTTCTATGTCCAAGAATTTAATCTCCTTTTTTATGTGGAGAAGTGCTTCATGACATGTGCCCTGAGCAGCCTAACTTGAATTATAAGATTGTCACCTTTTTATTCAGGGCCAACCCACCCCACCCCATACCAAAGGTAGTTTCCCTCATATACAGAATTGATTAATTTATCAAAGCCGTGCTTTGCTGAATCATTCTCTTGGTTGCTGAAAAAGAAACAAAACTGACACAGGGTCTGAGGAATGTTGTCAGTAAGGTTAATGTTCCATTGTCTCTGTACTCCAATCCAAGCCATGTTCACTGCTTGATATCTCCATTGCTTTATCAAACATTCCCAGGGTAGCAATAGAACGGTTTACATACTGTGTAAAGCTCACTTTATGCTGCCCTTCAATATCTTCCAGGGCATGTGCACATGGGGTAGACATGAGGTAAAGCATCTTTACACTGCCTCATCAAACACGACAAGGCTGGAACCAGAAAGGGTCAGACTCGCCATTAAACGTTCCAGAATAAATAGAGTGCAGATTATGTACAGAGTAAACCTCCACTTGTACTGTTCATTAAACTCTACATTAAAAAGGAGATGAAATTCTTACATCTAATCCATGTGATTGACATTTTGGATACAAAGACTAGCCTTTTGTTTGTTTGTTTTTCTTTCAGCTTTGATAAGAAAGGTGATTTGCACTATTTGATTAAATGGCGGGATCTGCCATATGACCAGGCTACCTGGGAATTTGAAGAGTTTGATATTCCAGATTATGACACTATGAAAGAGATGTATTGGAATCACAGGTCAGTGTCGCTTAATAAACATAATCTTACTCTTTCTTAAGCCAGGCTGAACGACTTCACTATCAATTTCTTTAATACAAGTTTAGTGGATTTGTTATTGGAGACACAAAGTCAAATCCCAGTTCACAAACTGTGAAACTGAACACAACCAATCTGGCAATGTGGACTGGTTCCAGAAAAATATCATGTGATGTTGGCTTTCCTAAAGATTCAATACAATCACCAGTGTCCTCTAGTGATGGGAACCAGCTACAGTTTCCTGGTCAGGCCTTCCCTTGGTTTCAGTCCTAGTTTACACTTCTGAAAATTAATTCTCAGGATGAAGGCACCACTGTCAAACACAGCATGTTTTGTCTGTCCCTTATTGCCCCCAAGAAGGTCATGATGAGCTGCTGTCTCCAATTGTTGCACTCCATGTGATGATTACTGCCATTAGGGAGGAAATGCTAGGATCATGTTCCAGGCAAGGTGAAGGAAGCGATATATTAATTTCAGAGCCAGGGTGGCATGTACCTCCGAGGAGAACTTGCCTCCATGTGCCTGCTGCCTATGTCCTTCTAAATGTTGGGCTGTGCTTGAGAAGGAACATCTGCCAAAGTGCAGCTGAATCTTGATGCTCTGAAATTGTAAGCCAGACAGTTTTTCTCCAGGGCATTTTACAACAAGAAAATAATGGAATCTGACAAAAGAATCTCTGACAACCTAAACTAGAAGGAAAGTTGGACAAAGTTGGGTCAGTGACATTCACCTTCTCTGTGGTTATGGGGTCTTGGTGCTGGCTGAGGTATTGAAAGATGAGAAAGAGGAAGAGGAGGAAACTGCATCAAGGGCTTGGTTAATGGGACTAATAAATGGGCAATGGTTGATGATGCCGTTCTGTTTCTGTGAGAGTTGGATCTGCAGCTCACGTGCTTTGATTTTTATTCCCCTTTTTCCTTTTTTTCTCTTTCTTTCCTCTTTTTCTCTTTCTGTCTCTTTCTTTTCTCTCTCTCTTTTTTCTCTCTCTCTTTTTTCTCTCTCTC